CACCACACTCATCGGCCTCATTCAGGACGGTGACGAGTCTGCTTACAGACAGGAGGTCGAGCAGCTGGCTGTCTGGTGCAGTCTCAACAACTTGGAGCTCAACACGCTCAAAACTGTGGAGATGACCGTGGACTTCAGGAGAAATCTGAAGCTGCTGAAACAGTTCTACTCTGCTATCATTGAATCCATCCTCTGCACTTCAATAACTGTCTGGTTCAGCTCAGCTACCAAATCTGACCTCAGAAGACTTCAGAGGGTAGTCCGGACTGCTGAGCGAATCATTGGTACAACCCTCCCTTCTCTCCAAGAACTGTACTCGTCCAGAGTGAGCAAAAGGGCTGGCAGAATCACTCTGGACCCCTCACATCCAGCACACTCCCTCTTTGAACTGTTGCCATCTGGTCGACGCTACAGAGCTCTGAGCACCAGAACGACCAGACACAGGAACAGTTTCTTCCCTCAGGCCATCCATCTCATGAACACTTAACAATAACTGTGGAGCACACACTATTTATTCAATCATACACTTATTAATCTAACACACATACTCAGTCTACACCTCAAATTTGCACAATATAATATACAGTACCTGTACATACAAAAACTGTCTATTGTAATATACCTGCACAACATACAATTGTGCCCCTTACCATAATCGTGAGCTTCATCTTTCAAAATAAATGTAAAGACAGAGCCCGAAAGGGGAACAGAGTCCCGTGACAGCCACAGTGATGAAGCTGATATGTGTTTGCAGTACACAAGCCACGGTTAAGACAGCTGACTCCACTTTGATGTTTCTCTCTCTCTCTTGCTCACACACACACACACACACATGATGTACAAAACTCCGCATTTGAACAGTCAATAGCAAATACTTAAACTAATAACAAAACATTAGCTGATTCAGAAGCGCCAGATTGTCATAGCAAAGTCAGAATGACCTCCTCTCCTAGGTTCACGAAACGGTCGTCCATAAAATGCATTGCTGTTCTGTTGTAAGTCATCTTAAAGATTTCTAAATCCATCTACTTCCGGAAGGCCAAATAAAGTGCTTTGGCTCTACAGCCCTGAAAGACAGCGGAGACCAGGACAACTAGATGAGCCCCAGATACAGATCCGCTGTAAAGCCCTTGTCTCAGACAACCACCGGGACAAGATCACAGGAACCAGACGAGTCCTCTGCACAATCTGACTTTGCTGCAGCCTGGAATTGAACTGCTGGTTTCATCTGGTCAGAGGAGAACTGGCCCCCCGGCTTAGCCTGGTTTCTCCCAAGGTGTTTTCTCCATTCTGTCACCGATGGAGTTTTGGTTCCTTGCCGCTGTCGCCTCTGGCTTGCTTAGTTGGGGACACTTCATTTCCAGCGATATCATCGACTTGATTGCACAGATATTATTTAAACTGAGCTGAGCTGGATGATGACATCACTGAATCCAATGATGAACTGTCTTTAACTGAAAAATGAGTGTTTTCTATTGTCACTTTGCATTATTGACACACTATTTTCCTAATTAATACTTGTAACCCTGTTGAAATATGTTCTTTAGTATAACATATACAAGTTTGAATAAATAATTTCATAGTTTACTAAATAGAGTTTAAGGTTAAAAAAGTTAAGATTCATTGACCAGCAAAGAAGTTATGATTTTGCTCAATGAGAGAAATGTCTATGGAGTAATGTTCATTTACTGTATACAGCATTTAAAATGTGAAATATTTGTTGGGTAATAATATATGTGAAAATGCTTAAAAGATGCCTGTGAGAATAGGAGGAATGAGTAACACAAATGTTTGTGAATTTATTTTATTTCTGAAAGTTTGTGTATGAGCCAATCACAGGAAAGGTCAAAGGAAAGAGGAAGTGGAGAATGCGAGGAGAAATGAGGGGAGGGAGTTTTTGCGGAAAGGAAAAGACCGTTACTGTTAATGTAATGCACCAGAAAATGAAAGTGTTCAATACGGACTCTTATAAAAGACGTTAATGGTGATAGTTCTGTTTGTCTGAGTGATAAACTCATCACAGTTACGACAGATGTAAGTTTAAGTTAGCGCTGATTTAGTGACTAGCGTTTGCATGGACTTTGCTGACAAGCTAGCGGCTAGCGACCTTGATTAGTTAAGCCTGTGTGGGAATATGAGACCGACGATGATCAAAGACCTTCCCGGAGCCGGATAGCGTTATCGAGTGTGGACTTTGCTGAGATCGTCAACGATGTGAATCTTCTCTTCAACCGTTTTCTCTTCATCGCGAATCCTCCAGTCCTGTCTTCTGCGGCTGGCGCCTTTGATCTGGTGCGCGTGAGGTTACATAATGAAGGATATGTTATCTTTGCATGAACAATTACATAACTGAGCGAATGACACTTAATGACAGTTGTCATAAACATGCATAAAAAACCTTCATATTCATGACTTCCAGTCCTGTATTCTGCGGCTGACGCCTTTGATCTGGTGCGCGTGAGGTTACATAATGAAGGATATGTTATCTTTGCATGAACAATTACATAACTGAGCGAATGACACTTAATGACAGTTGTCATAAACATGCATAAAAAACCTTCATATTCATGACTTCCAGTCCTGTATTCTGCGGCTGACGCCTTTGATCTGGTGCGCGTGAGGTTACATAATGAAGGATATGTTATCTTTGCATGAACAATTACATAACTGAGCGAATGACACTTAATGACAGTTGTCATAAACATGCATAAAAAACCTTCATATTCATGACTTCCAGTCCTGTATTCTGCGGCTGACGCCTTTGATCTGGTGCGCGTGAGGTTACATAATGAAGGATATGTTATCTTTGCATGAACAATTACATAACTGAGCGAATGACACTTAATGACAGTTGTCATAAACATGCATAAAAAACCTTCATATTCATGACTTCCAGTCCTGTATTCTGCGGCTGACGCCTTTGATCTGGTGCGCGTGAGGTTACATAATGAAGGATATGTTATCTTTGCATGAACAATTACATAACTGAGCGAATGACACTTAATGACAGTTGTCATAAACATGCATAAAAAACCTTCATATTCATGACTTCCAGTCCTGTATTCTGCGGCTGACGCCTTTGATCTGGTGCGCGTGAGGTTACATAATGAAGGATATGTTATCTTTGCATGAACAATTACATAACTGAGCGAATGACACTTAATGACAGTTGTCATAAACATGCATAAAAAACCTTCATATTCATGACTTCCAGTCCTGTATTCTGCGGCTGACGCCTTTGATCTGGTGCGCGTGAGGTTACATAATGAAGGATATGTTATCTTTGCATGAACAATTACATAACTGAGCGAATGACACTTAATGACAGTTGTCATAAACATGCATAAAAAACCTTCATATTCATGACTTCCAGTCCTGTATTCTGCGGCTGACGCCTTTGATCTGGTGCGCGTGAGGTTACATAATGAAGGATATGTTATCTTTGCATGAACAATTACATAACTGAGCGAATGACACTTAATGACAGTTGTCATAAACATGCATAAAAAACCTTCATATTCATGACTTCCAGTCCTGTATTCTGCGGCTGACGCCTTTGATCTGGTGCGCGTGAGGTTACATAATGAAGGATATGTTATCTTTGCATGAACAATTACATAACTGAGCGAATGACACTTAATGACAGTTGTCATAAACATGCATAAAAAACCTTCATATTCATGACTTCCAGTCCTGTATTCTGCGGCTGACGCCTTTGATCTGGTGCGCGTGAGGTTACATAATGAAGGATATGTTATCTTTGCATGAACAATTACATAACTGAGCGAATGACACTTAATGACAGTTGTCATAAACATGCATAAAAAACCTTCATATTCATGACTTCCAGTCCTGTATTCTGCGGCTGACGCCTTTGATCTGGTGCGCGTGAGGTTACATAATGAAGGATATGTTATCTTTGCATGAACAATTACATAACTGAGCGAATGACACTTAATGACAGTTGTCATAAACATGCATAAAAAACCTTCATATTCATGACTTCCAGTCCTGTATTCTGCGGCTGACGCCTTTGATCTGGTGCGCGTGAGGTTACATAATGAAGGATATGTTATCTTTGCATGAACAATTACATAACTGAGCGAATGACACTTAATGACAGTTGTCATAAACATGCATAAAAAACCTTCATATTCATGACTTCCAGTCCTGTATTCTGCGGCTGACGCCTTTGATCTGGTGCGCGTGAGGTTACATAATGAAGGATATGTTATCTTTGCATGAACAATTACATAACTGAGCGAATGACACTTAATGACAGTTGTCATAAACATGCATAAAAAACCTTCATATTCATGACTTCCAGTCCTGTATTCTGCGGCTGACGCCTTTGATCTGGTGCGCGTGAGGTTACATAATGAAGGATATGTTATCTTTGCATGAACAATTACATAACTGAGCGAATGACACTTAATGACAGTTGTCATAAACATGCATAAAAAACCTTCATATTCATGACTTCCAGTCCTGTATTCTGCGGCTGACGCCTTTGATCTGGTGCGCGTGAGGTTACATAATGAAGGATATGTTATCTTTGCATGAACAATTACATAACTGAGCGAATGACACTTAATGACAGTTGTCATAAACATGCATAAAAAACCTTCATATTCATGACTTCCAGTCCTGTATTCTGCGGCTGACGCCTTTGATCTGGTGCGCGTGAGGTTACATAATGAAGGATATGTTATCTTTGCATGAACAATTACATAACTGAGCGAATGACACTTAATGACAGTTGTCATAAACATGCATAAAAAACCTTCATATTCATGACTTCCAGTCCTGTATTCTGCGGCTGACGCCTTTGATCTGGTGCGCGTGAGGTTACATAATGAAGGATATGTTATCTTTGCATGAACAATTACATAACTGAGCGAATGACACTTAATGACAGTTGTCATAAACATGCATAAAAAACCTTCATATTCATGACTTCCAGTCCTGTATTCTGCGGCTGACGCCTTTGATCTGGTGCGCGTGAGGTTACATAATGAAGGATATGTTATCTTTGCATGAACAATTACATAACTGAGCGAATGACACTTAATGACAGTTGTCATAAACATGCATAAAAAACCTTCATATTCATGACTTCCAGTCCTGTATTCTGCGGCTGACGCCTTTGATCTGGTGCGCGTGAGGTTACATAATGAAGGATATGTTATCTTTGCATGAACAATTACATAACTGAGCGAATGACACTTAATGACAGTTGTCATAAACATGCATAAAAAACCTTCATATTCATGACTTCCAGTCCTGTATTCTGCGGCTGACGCCTTTGATCTGGTGCGCGTGAGGTTACATAATGAAGGATATGTTATCTTTGCATGAACAATTACATAACTGAGCGAATGACACTTAATGACAGTTGTCATAAACATGCATAAAAAACCTTCATATTCATGACTTCCAGTCCTGTATTCTGCGGCTGACGCCTTTGATCTGGTGCGCGTGAGGTTACATAATGAAGGATATGTTATCTTTGCATGAACAATTACATAACTGAGCGAATGACACTTAATGACAGTTGTCATAAACATGCATAAAAAACCTTCATATTCATGACTTCCAGTCCTGTATTCTGCGGCTGACGCCTTTGATCTGGTGCGCGTGAGGTTACATAATGAAGGATATGTTATCTTTGCATGAACAATTACATAACTGAGCGAATGACACTTAATGACAGTTGTCATAAACATGCATAAAAAACCTTCATATTCATGACTTCCAGTCCTGTATTCTGCGGCTGACGCCTTTGATCTGGTGCGCGTGAGGTTACATAATGAAGGATATGTTATCTTTGCATGAACAATTACATAACTGAGCGAATGACACTTAATGACAGTTGTCATAAACATGCATAAAAAACCTTCATATTCATGACTTCCAGTCCTGTATTCTGCGGCTGACGCCTTTGATCTGGTGCGCGTGAGGTTACATAATGAAGGATATGTTATCTTTGCATGAACAATTACATAACTGAGCGAATGACACTTAATGACAGTTGTCATAAACATGCATAAAAAACCTTCATATTCATGACTTCCAGTCCTGTATTCTGCGGCTGACGCCTTTGATCTGGTGCGCGTGAGGTTACATAATGAAGGATATGTTATCTTTGCATGAACAATTACATAACTGAGCGAATGACACTTAATGACAGTTGTCATAAACATGCATAAAAAACCTTCATATTCATGACTTCCAGTCCTGTATTCTGCGGCTGACGCCTTTGATCTGGTGCGCGTGAGGTTACATAATGAAGGATATGTTATCTTTGCATGAACAATTACATAACTGAGCGAATGACACTTAATGACAGTTGTCATAAACATGCATAAAAAACCTTCATATTCATGACTTCCAGTCCTGTATTCTGCGGCTGACGCCTTTGATCTGGTGCGCGTGAGGTTACATAATGAAGGATATGTTATCTTTGCATGAACAATTACATAACTGAGCGAATGACACTTAATGACAGTTGTCATAAACATGCATAAAAAACCTTCATATTCATGACTTCCAGTCCTGTATTCTGCGGCTGACGCCTTTGATCTGGTGCGCGTGAGGTTACATAATGAAGGATATGTTATCTTTGCATGAACAATTACATAACTGAGCGAATGACACTTAATGACAGTTGTCATAAACATGCATAAAAAACCTTCATATTCATGACTTCCAGTCCTGTATTCTGCGGCTGACGCCTTTGATCTGGTGCGCGTGAGGTTACATAATGAAGGATATGTTATCTTTGCATGAACAATTACATAACTGAGCGAATGACACTTAATGACAGTTGTCATAAACATGCATAAAAAACCTTCATATTCATGACTTCCAGTCCTGTATTCTGCGGCTGACGCCTTTGATCTGGTGCGCGTGAGGTTACATAATGAAGGATATGTTATCTTTGCATGAACAATTACATAACTGAGCGAATGACACTTAATGACAGTTGTCATAAACATGCATAAAAAACCTTCATATTCATGACTTCCAGTCCTGTATTCTGCGGCTGACGCCTTTGATCTGGTGCGCGTGAGGTTACATAATGAAGGATATGTTATCTTTGCATGAACAATTACATAACTGAGCGAATGACACTTAATGACAGTTGTCATAAACATGCATAAAAAACCTTCATATTCATGACTTCCAGTCCTGTATTCTGCGGCTGACGCCTTTGATCTGGTGCGCGTGAGGTTACATAATGAAGGATATGTTATCTTTGCATGAACAATTACATAACTGAGCGAATGACACTTAATGACAGTTGTCATAAACATGCATAAAAAACCTTCATATTCATGACTTCCAGTCCTGTATTCTGCGGCTGACGCCTTTGATCTGGTGCGCGTGAGGTTACATAATGAAGGATATGTTATCTTTGCATGAACAATTACATAACTGAGCGAATGACACTTAATGACAGTTGTCATAAACATGCATAAAAAACCTTCATATTCATGACTTCCAGTCCTGTATTCTGCGGCTGACGCCTTTGATCTGGTGCGCGTGAGGTTACATAATGAAGGATATGTTATCTTTGCATGAACAATTACATAACTGAGCGAATGACACTTAATGACAGTTGTCATAAACATGCATAAAAAACCTTCATATTCATGACTTCCAGTCCTGTATTCTGCGGCTGACGCCTTTGATCTGGTGCGCGTGAGGTTACATAATGAAGGATATGTTATCTTTGCATGAACAATTACATAACTGAGCGAATGACACTTAATGACAGTTGTCATAAACATGCATAAAAAACCTTCATATTCATGACTTCCAGTCCTGTATTCTGCGGCTGACGCCTTTGATCTGGTGCGCGTGAGGTTACATAATGAAGGATATGTTATCTTTGCATGAACAATTACATAACTGAGCGAATGACACTTAATGACAGTTGTCATAAACATGCATAAAAAACCTTCATATTCATGACTTCCAGTCCTGTATTCTGCGGCTGACGCCTTTGATCTGGTGCGCGTGAGGTTACATAATGAAGGATATGTTATCTTTGCATGAACAATTACATAACTGAGCGAATGACACTTAATGACAGTTGTCATAAACATGCATAAAAAACCTTCATATTCATGACTTCCAGTCCTGTATTCTGCGGCTGACGCCTTTGATCTGGTGCGCGTGAGGTTACATAATGAAGGATATGTTATCTTTGCATGAACAATTACATAACTGAGCGAATGACACTTAATGACAGTTGTCATAAACATGCATAAAAAACCTTCATATTCATGACTTCCAGTCCTGTATTCTGCGGCTGACGCCTTTGATCTGGTGCGCGTGAGGTTACATAATGAAGGATATGTTATCTTTGCATGAACAATTACATAACTGAGCGAATGACACTTAATGACAGTTGTCATAAACATGCATAAAAAACCTTCATATTCATGACTTCCAGTCCTGTATTCTGCGGCTGACGCCTTTGATCTGGTGCGCGTGAGGTTACATAATGAAGGATATGTTATCTTTGCATGAACAATTACATAACTGAGCGAATGACACTTAATGACAGTTGTCATAAACATGCATAAAAAACCTTCATATTCATGACTTCCAGTCCTGTATTCTGCGGCTGACGCCTTTGATCTGGTGCGCGTGAGGTTACATTCACATTGAGTAAAGGTACCACTTGTTTGTTTAGCCTGCGTGGTGAAGCAGCCATTGGGTTTAAGGCTACTACGTACCCAAGCTACATTCAGGCCTGCATCATTTGAACATTTGAATGGTATTTCACGTTAAGCTAGGTTTTTGCCGGCTATTTTATTTTCTTGGGCCCTTATGTGTTAAATGTGAATTTAAATGCATTTGTGATGAGAAAAGTGAGTTTGACCAGACATATTTAATTTGTGACTTTTTTCTTTTAAGTAAATCTGGTATATTTTTTATAAAACCTTTGTGGTTACTGACTCTGTTGATATCTTAAGTTAATTAAGAAAAGAGAGAAACTTTTGGGTTAAACGTGAAAGTGTTTATAGGAGAAAAGTAATTAAAAGACCTTTAATTTCCTGTTACAGTGTAAATATTACTGCTTAAATAGTGATTTAAAGAGGGAAAAGTATTTCCTTTAATAAGCTAGTAATTACACCCACACAAGACAAACACAGATAAGTTATTAGAGAAACCTCACTTATTTGATTGGATAGATATTTAAAGAATTCAGGATAGCCACCTCTCATTATAGTTTAGCACGCTAGAGAGGCGCTACATACTGTACAGTGCTTTGACACAATCTGTATTGTTAAAAGCACTATATTAATAAAGGTGACTTGACTCTGACTTGATTGGTCTGGTTTATTCAAAACTCTCCAGAACCCCTGATTTGACTTAATTTCTTAGACTGAATTGCTGCCAATGATAAGCTGGTCCACCTGACCACTGACACTAAGAACTGGGACACTAAAATTGAACCCATATATCTAATGTTTCATATCACACACTCCTTCAGGACTAATTTGCTTCCAAATGTCATGAATATGAAGGAGGTTTTATGCATGTTTATGACAACTGTCGTTAAGTGTCATTCGCTCAGTTATGTCATTTTTAATGCAAATATGACATTATTTGACCTAACCCTACCCTTACCCCTAACCATAGCCCATAACAAAGACATCTCAAACAATGTCATCTTTGCATTAAAAATGACATAACTGAGCAAATGACACTTAATGACAGTTGTCATAAACATGTATAAAAAAACCTTCATATTTATGACGTGTCATGTCATGATTATGAAGGTGTCATGTCAGTCTTATGCACACCCCTTCAAGTAAAGTGTAACCGAAAATCCTTATACATCACTGACCCACATGTGTGTGTATATGTATATTTAGTATTTATTTATTTATTTTTTCTGCTGTGGCATGCCACAATAGGAAAAATTAGTTTGATAAATGTAGTTAGATATTAGATAAATGTTTTTCAGTAAATCTGCAATAAAATGATTTACTGAATAACAGAATGAGTTAAACATTTAAGTTCCTTATTAAATGGATTCCTTTTAATAAATTCCTTAGCCCTACAATTGACTTCTCCTTAGTTAAAAAAGGTGCTACTGAGACTGTTCACATCACGCATCTGAAGATTTTATTTGCTACAAATAGCCAAGTACAGACATTAATACTTAGTGTACAGAACATAACAATGGTGACAATCAACCAATAGAATTTGAAGATTACAGAGAGATTACAGATACAGCTAGACATTGTAATTCTAAATTACTATATTAAATAGCGTAATTTCATGCAGAAATACAGGATGATCTTGCAGTCTGTTTATAATATTTTCAAGTACTCTTAAGATTAGAGTAAGCCCGGGACAGCACAGCATTGCTTTTCTACATTACTTTACACGCAACCAGAGTTTATTAGCAGTTCAATTATATATTTTTTGTAGTATTCTGATGTGCACAGGTTAATGTAATGATTGGTTTATGACAGAAAATATATTTAGCCTGCTCTGTATACCCAAACTAACCATAACCCTATCCCTAACACAAAAAGCAACAATAAAGCAAGGAGAAACAGATGCGTCTAAAACGTTTTGTGATCGATTCACTGAAACCACATCACTCGTTAAAAATGCACGTGTCCAAAAATATTGGAGACTGTCGGTTGCATTGAACAGAGCGTAAATAATAATAAGAATAATTCCTGTTCTTCTTGTTGATGCTTCCATGCATCAAGAAGAGGGCTTTCTCACTGGCAGTGCAGTTCGAAACAGGGCACGGTTGGCTTGGGAAAAAAACTGCAATGTAAAAGCTGTCATGCGGAACCAGAAGCGCCCCGGGGTACCGAACCCGAGACTATCTGAAGGATTGCAATGGAACCGTGAGTGTGCAGACACCTCGGACTCGGGTGCGCACGCATTCAGGAAGTAAAGTAAACTTCTTCTTTTTTTAAATTGAATGCTTGAAAAAAACAATATAAATTATCATTATTGTCAGCTCATAACAATACAACAACAGTCCAGGGTCATTCAGTCTTTCAGTCCAGAGGAAGTGCCAAGTCCTTTAGCAAAGCCATTGTTCTTATTGCTTTTACGTTCGTAGAGAACTCAATAAATTCAAAATACATTTTCATTTCAAGTTTGAATCTTAAAAAAAGAGGTTTGCACTTAGAAAATTTACATTTACACTCTAAAAAATTCTGGGTTATTGCAACCCAACTTTGGGTCAAATATGGACTAACCCAACTGTTGGGTTACATTTTTACATTACATTTTTAACCCAAAAGTTTGGGTTAGTCCAAATTTGACCCAAAGTTGGGTTGCAATAACCCAGAATTTTTTAGAGTGTATGAAAATGATATTTAGCAATACAAGCCCTCGCGCGCGCATGATCATTCCCCACATCCTCGCGCTCGCTCTTCCCTCACCTGCTCGCGCGAACACTTTTATTTTTGTCCGTCGTGGGGCGGGGCTTGCTGTTTTAATTGTAACCTCAAATGTCATTGGTTATTCCTCTTTTCCGGAAGTCAGTTTTGGACACCTGTTATAAGATGATTTATAATTCTCTTGACTTAAAACATGGCTTCATCAGTGGACCAGATACATGTGAGTTATCGTTTCATTTGCTTGTTTTATTTATTTATTTAGTCTTTATTTAATGTAATTTAATGCATTGTTCATAGAGTAGATCTTTTTCAGATACTTTATTAATAGGACGTCTACTGTTTACAAGTGATTGCAGTCTTGTGATGATAAGAGATACACACATGAACCCTTTTAAAGACTGTAATGATGCACGTTGTGTTGTACAATTCGCTGTTGTCAGCACTGTTCGCAATAGATGTAAGTAATGTAAATACATTTCCATAAAGTAACTAAATATAAGTAATCCATTTTATTTGTCTATTAGTACTGTTGAAAAATGTTTACAGTGTTACTGGTCATCTGCTATCATAATCAGTCCATTCACGATGATGTATATGAAAATTGATTCCTGTTTATGGAAAAGAAGCTTGTAATACATTCAGTCCCAATGTATTTATTTATGTTCTTATTTTTTCCTTATGATATGAAGGAGACATCTGAGTGATGTATATGTGTGTTATTGTGTTGTACAATTCGCTGTTGTCAGCACTGTTCGCAATAGATGTAAGTAATGTAAATACATTTCCATAAAGTAACTAAATATAAGTAATCCATTTTATTTGTCTATTAGTACTGTTGAAAAATGTAGGAACATTTGTGTTGGATAAAAAGCTACTTAACACTACTTAATACTTTTGAACACACAAATCTCAGAGGTAGCTTGACTCTTGTCTGGATGTTACAGGGACAGATGAGCACACATGTCTGCTTATCCGGCGGAGACGAGAGCATTAATGAAGCAATGCTGCCATCAAAGGCTTTGAGTGAGTATACTACAGAAATGAATAAAACCTCTTTTAAATCTTAAGTTGTAGTTTATTTTAATTATTGTAATTTCAAACAGAGTTATCACAGCACTTTTCTGATTCTTGATTTCTGTGCATTTGCTGCAGAGCTTTAGAGCTTCTGTGGTCTCTTCATCCTCAGTGACCCCAGAGCCAGCGAGAACATCTAGCAGTGAGGATGGAGAGCCCACAGCAGTATCCTGGAAATGGTCCAGTTCCATGGATGAGACGCTCCATCACTCCACCTCTTACTGTCTCATCAGGACCGGATGCTGCTGTGGTCTCTTCATCCTCAGTGACCCCAGAGCCAGCGAGAACATCTAGAGAAAGACCAAAAGACACTGAGGATGAGTTTGGTCAAGTTCGTCCTGCTGGTTTGCTCATACAACATCAGTCAATGGAGCCCGAGTTTCAGAAGCTTCAAAAGCATCATCAAATAATGTCATGAAGCTTCTGAAAGTCAGTCTCCCGTCGACTGATACTGTATGAACAGAAACCAGCAGGACAAACTTGACCAAAATCACCTTTTGTGTTCAGGAAAAAAAAAATTTAAAATACCCCAAAGATTTAACAGTGAGGCGAGTAAATAATGATTGAATTGATATGTTTGGATGAACTAACCCTTTAAACCCCCCAATAAGAAAAAGTAGTACCTTGAAGAAATAAGCTTTAAGAAATAAGCAGCTTTATTGAGCGTTTGAACAAAAATCACATTTACATTTATTCATTTGTCAGACACTTTTATCCAAAGTGACTTACAGTGCTCTTATTACAGGGACCCCAATCCCCCTGCATCCACCTGGAGTAAAGAGCCTTGCTGAAGGACACACCGGTGGTGACGACTGCGGAGATCGAACCAGTAACCTTCTGCTGACCAGTGCAGTGCTTTAGCCCACTAGTTACATGAGTACTATTTGTACTCATCTTATGTCATCACAAACGAGCATGGAGAACGCATACTTGTTGTTGTTTTATTGTTTTGGCGAAATAGGCTACGCAGTTGTCCTACATTCTGCTCTGCATAATATGTATTTGACGGCATTCATCACCTGTCCAGAGGGAAGTCGGCTTTCCGCTTCAAGAAAACAGTGTTTTTTGATGAGTCAGTTCAGTTGCAGTTTTGCCAACTAATTTTCAGGGGAAGTTGCAAAAAGAAGGTTGATTTGTTGCTAAAAGTTGCTAAATGACGGGATGTCATTGCGCGGTGAAGTCATTGCGTAATAGCGATGCAAAATTGTGTCACTGCATCAAATTTCAGCAAAACACAATGTAAATATGTTAATTTAGATGCGTTTATAAAATAATATAAATGCATAATATAATATTAAAATACAAATAACTAATTTTAAATACAACATTGAATTATTAAACACTTTCACATTTTTTTACAATTACAATTTAAGTTTATTTTTATTAGATAGTATTACTAGTAAAACTACTCATTCTGAACGATTATAGTTTTAAGCAGTGTATTAGTAGTTCGTATGCTAAACTCTAAGAAAAGTCTGTAAAAGTAGGGCAAAATTTTCCGTAATTATTATTCACAGGTTTTTACCTACATTTTAAATTACGCATTGTATTTTGTGTTTTCGGGTTACATGGTTACAATGGATAACGGATAATGTCCTGGAAAATTACTACCTTTTTCATTTTTCAAGATGTTTTTCTTACCGTGTACTAACTGATCAACAATCACATGTACAAGCTACTAACAAGGTGTATCATAAATGAACAATTATTCAATTATTATTATTATTAAATTAAACAATTGCTAATAGCAGCCAACTTAATTCATGTGAATTGTGTACTGCTAGGCACCTTTGGTTTCCTCTTTTTGTGTAATTTAGATGGAAAATGTGTGCTTTTTTTATCATTTGAGTCACTTATCAAAAGTTGCTAAATGTTGCCAAATAAATAAATAAAAATAGCTAAATTTGTTGCTAGGTACTTTTGGAAGAAAATGTTGCTAGGGTAGTTTGAAAAGTTGCTAAATCTAGCAACAAAATTGCTAAGTTGGCAACACTGTTCAGGTGTACTGTCTGTTATAGCATTTGCTGTGGCTAATGATGTCGTCTTCGGCTGTAACCAAACGCACGCGCAGTTTACTTTACTTCCTGAATGCGTGCGCACCCGAGTCCGAGGTGTCTGCACACTCACGGTTCCATTGCAATCCTTCAGATAGTCTCGGGTTCGGTACCCCGGGGCGCTTCTGGTTCCGCATGACAGCTTTTACATTGCAGCTTTTTTCCCAAGCCAACCGTGCCCTGTTTCGAACTGCACTGCCAGTGAGAAAGCCCTCTTCTTGATGCATGGAAGCATCAACAAGAAGAACAGGAATTATTCTTATTATTATTTACGCTCTGTTCAATGCAACCGACAGTCTCCAATATTTTTGGACACGTGCATTTTTAACGAGTGATGTGGTTTCAGTGAATCGATCACAAAACGTTTTAGACGCATCTTAATAGCGAGTTAAACGGCGTTTCTTAAAAAGCGAAAGTAAAACTCTCTGTGAGTCTGCCATTTTGTTGAAGGTCGTTATTACTTACAGAAGACATTTTACTTCGACTGTCTTGTGTGCCTTTCAGTAAGTAACACGTTTAATGTTTATATTGAACCTTCTATTGCATATGCATATCCTAGAATAAAGTTTAGTCCAGAAACATGTTCTTGGCCTCACAGTATCACTAGGTAATATGTTGGCTATATCCACAGGTGAAAATGTAGACTAAAAC